GGTTTCTGAGGAGTTGGTGAGACTCCTGTAGCTGGAACATGTACTATGGATGGTTTCTGAGGAGTTGCTGAGACTCCTGGAGCTGGAACATTTACCGCAGAGGGTTTCTGAGGAGTTCGTGAGACTCCTGGAGCTGGAACATTTACCACAGAGGGTTTCTGAGGAGTTCGTGAGACTCCTGTAGCTGCAACATGTACTGTGGTGGGTTTCTGTGGAGTTGGTGCAACTCGTGTTGCTGGACCATTTACGGTGGTACATTTTGAAAATTTAATAGAGCTTCCATACCTGAATGTGTCCCGGATCTCCGAAATAATGGGAAATTATTTTCTGTGGCCTCGTATCCTGTGGAGAAAATATGTTGAGAAAAAATTAGATAAATATTGCTATCCAACTTAAGATTTCTTAGCCATTGCTTCCTCTATGGAGGAAGCTGTCTTTCCCTCTCCATAAACACCTACATATGACTTTTAGGAAACCAAGTCTTACTGCATATTTCCCAAGGATCTGAATGGCTGCATTGCTTTTCATTTGATATAAATTATACCTATTAGGGTCTACAGTATAATTATGTCAAAGTAGTATTGAGGCTCTTATACTGTCTCCTTGAGAAAAAAGGAAACCAAAGTTGGAATCAGAGTGATCTTATTCTGTAACCTATCTCTCTTTATTTGCTCTTCCAAATTGCCTGCGTTTGCTCATGCCAAGACCACAGAAAAACAGAATGCAATCATTGGACCAACAGAGAGAATCACAGCATAGTTACTTTTCCCACTGCTTTCAGGACATGTTAGTGAGCTTGAGAACTTGCTGTGTTGTACTCCTTCTCAAAGTAATATGGCAGTCTGAATAAAAATCACTCCCATTTCTCCTGTGCGAGTTACCAACTGTATGTATATTAGTTTAGTTCCTCTTTAGATTTCCGGTTAGATAACCATTAACGTCAAACTTCCATTAAGAACATGTTCTGAGAATAACAAATCTAATGACACAGCACTGATGTAGTCTTCAGAGCCACTGTCTCTTTGGGTCGCTTGTACAAAGTCTGTTATGGCAGCTATTAAGTAGAGCTGAACCCTAGTTTTACGTTACCACGTGCTAGTGCCTTGGCAGTTCTCTATCCTTTAAACTTACGTTTTTATGCTGTAAACGGATAAAAACAGCACAGTTGCCAGCATGCCGTTAAGGGTTTAGGAAATTTTGTAAGTTTCTACACAGTGTCTGCCGACGCGCACAGGTGGTACCATCGTATCTGTGCCAGTCCATCACACTCATGCTCGTTTTTATGACCAACGAATGGTGTGTTGTTTTTTTGTTCCTTGTTACTGTCCCACGATGTTAAGAAGTAACTCAGTACTGCTACAGGTAACACAGCACTAGCAGGCCTGAAACATGGAGTGATAGTAGTTATTAGGTAGTGCTTTTGTATGAGGTTTTCTTTAGCCTCAGATATTCTTTGTTTCTGTTCTCATTTTTGATCCGATGTGCGTTACATACTCATGGATTTAATTTCCAGAATTTTTTTTGTTTTTTTTCTTATTGTCCTAGTTGATCCACTGAAGTCAGAAGCATGGCTTAGTAACTTCAAGTTTTCTGGATGCCACTGTCAATTAGTAAGTACCATGTATCTTGGACTTGCCATCGGTTTGTAGCATGGTGTCATGGCTTTGTATGTGCGTTCTTTAATTGTTTCACTGATTCTATGTTCTTGTACGCGTGTAGTTGTTGTTGTTTTAGCTATTGAAAAACCTGTGGTTTCTCGAACTGGATGTGGATTGGTGTCTATTTTCTTTTAATTGCTCATATGGGTTGTTTTTTATAAATCTTTCAAGTCATTTCTGCATTTTATATTGTCAGGTTCATGTTAGCGTAAGGTCGTAGACGTTTTTTCATGTTTACTTTCACATTCTTGATATTCTTATAATCAACTGTGGTGGCCTTGTGTTGTAATATGCTTTCTCTTTTAAGTTAGTGTGGACGTTAGTAATTACCTTTCATACTTTGTTACATGGTGTGCGGGAGGGTTTTACTAGCCCACCTTATAAGTTTTTGTCTACCTCTACCTTATGTTCCTTTCTGTTGTTCTTCTCCTGTTTTTTTGGTTAATATTCTATGTTCTTTATTAGTTGTGTGTTGCATTCTTTTCTTTGTGGACTCTAGAGTTCAGATGTCTGGGCCTGTATGTCGTATGTTTTCATTTTACCCTTTTTCATACTGCTAGATTCTTGATACTTCTACGTGATTTCGTTTTGGACATTGTTGCTTATTATGTTTTTGTATTCTAAAGGTTATTCAACCCAAAAGCCTCGTGGTTATTGTTCTGTACACTCAAGTGTTCATGATGACTTTGCAAGGGTACTTGTTTCATGTTGCATTTTCGTGTTTTGTGTCTACGTGGCCTTGTTTTCACTCTTACTTGAAGATTTGCCTTTGTTTTTCACTGCTGTTCGGTCAGCGTGCTGGGTTGCAGTCTCAGTTTTGTTGATATCGGTTCTTCTGCATTCGTTTTGAGAGTAGGTTCATCGGGCATGAATTTGGATGATGAGTTCGCTGTTACGTAGTTTCAGTTCTTTGTGTTCTTTTGGCTTTTGCACTTTTTTGTTGGAGAAGTGATCAGGTTGATACTGTTGCTTCTACGATGTTCTGTTTGTTTTTTTCGTGCTCTTGAGTGTCTTTCTTGGTTGAGTTAGCAAGTTTCCTATGGGGCGTTGAGTGAGTTGTTTCTCTTTCTGTTAGAGGTGCCAGGCTTTTGATGTGGTTGGCGGTTATTCTCACCGGTTTAGCGTTGTCAGTGCTTCTTTTTGAAATTCTTGCTCACCTTTGTTTTTCTCTTCCTCCTCTCCTCTTTTTGTCTCCATTTCTCTGTGTCTCTTCTTTCAAACATGTGTTACCAGCTTACGAACTGTTTTAAGTCTAATTTTTCTATGTTTACATTTTTTGTCTTTCTGCTTCAGGTTTGGCAGTTTATTACCTGTCTTCAGGTCGTGGCTATACTGTGGTCCACTGGTGCAGGTACTGTGAAACTTTCTGATCGTGTTCTGTATTCAGGTGTGTGGCGGTGTACGTGCGGTGTTGTACGTCGTTTGTGAGGTAGTCTTTTCTCTGTGAGGTTCTTTTTTTCTTTAAGCTTTTCTGCGTTTTAGTCCTTGTGTCATCGTTTTGGTCGTTTTTGCTTTCGTCTTTCTTTGATTGGTTTTCTTGTCTTGGGTTCTAATGTTTTTTTTTGCGTTGGGTTTTGATCAGATGGGTCCTAATGTGCGTGGCGGTGTTTGGATGTTGTCTTTCTGTAGCTTGGGTGGGTTAGTTTGTCGTTCAGGCTCCTGTGCTCTGTGGTGGTCGGTGGTTGGGTGCTTTGGGCTGTGGAGTCTGATGGTCTGTTTGCCTCGCGTTGAGTGCGGGTTCAGGTCTGTGTTTTGTTCGGCAGTTGCTGCCTTCGGCTTTAGTATGGAAGGTGTCCTTCGGGGGTGGGGCGTGGATTGGTAGTGTTCCTCTTGGGCCTTGTGTCAGTTTGAGACTTTACCCGGTTCTGGTTTTGGGATGGTAGATACTGGGCGTGTCCCAGTCTGCAGCTGGAGATGCTAGATGGCGCGGTGTGCTTGTGTGTGAGGTTCTGTGTCTCGGTCATGCTGTCGCTTGACGTGTTTGTGTTTCTGTGTCTGGAGTGGTTTTGGTGTTGGTCAGGATGGACCCTGCAGGTTGGTCGCCATGGGCAGGGCGATACTGATGTCGTTGCTTTGTTGTTTCTCAGGTTGTTTTTTCAACCTGTTTTTAGCGGTATTGAGTTCTGTGAGGTGGATTTTAATGTTGGTCGGTTGTGTTTTAAGGAGATTGGTGCTCCTGTGGTTCGGATTGCGTTATCTTGTTTTGGTTTTTATTTCCGATTTAGTAGCGGTCAACATTGGTTTAGGCAATCTGGCAGCGTGGCTGTCCAGCGTGAGGTTCTGTGTGACTTCTCAGCTGCGGTTTTGTTGTGTATGCCCTTCCTCGTGTGATACTGATGTGGTTTTGTGGTCGTTTCGGTGCGTGCTGTTGATTCGGTTGTGGTGGTTATATGTGTGTTGTGTGTTTTCTTTTGGGGGTCTTGGTTTGGTTCAGCTGTGACAGGTATAGTGGTGCTTATCTGTTTTTTTTGGTGATGTTCCATGGTGGTGTGCGTGTGCAATGTTTTGATCTTAGCTGTGGCTTGGTGGTCCACGCGTTGTTTGTTGGCCGCTTATTCGGTGGGGGTGGTTTTTGTGAGGGTGGCTTGGGTCTTTTGGTAGATGCCGTAGTGATTGTGGTCATGGTGTCTTGTTTGCGTCTGTTCTGTGTTGTTGTCGGGTTGGCTGTGCCGAGCGCGGGTGGTGTTCTTCTTCATCCCGCGGCTTTGTAGTTGGCTTTTGTAGGCTTCTCGTGGGTTAGTGTATTTTGGTTTTGATTCCTTTCTGATGTTGGGGAGTTGGCTTTGTTATTGTTGTTGGCCATTCTTGGGTTCTTTTTGAGTTGTTCAAGTCTTGCACTTTGTCATAGTGTTTGTGGTTGTGGCTTTTTGTGGGTTCGTGGGTCGGAGTTTAGTTATGCCCGTTGTCGATGCGTAGGATGCCAATGTATCTCTTTGGGTTGTCTGGTTATTGTTGGTTTTGTTGGCTTGCAGCTTTTGTTTGATCTGCTTGTGTTTTTTGTTGCTGCTGTGTGCTTTGGGGCTGCTATACTTTGCCCGGCGATGTCCTAGGGGTGTTTCTTGTTGTTGAGTTAATGTGTTATCCTTGGGTTTAGTCTGTATGGTCTCTCTTG